AAAAAAAAAGGCTGAATTAGAAGCTGAAAAAAAAAATGAAAACAAAATGGAAAAAAAAAAGAAAAAAAAGGGCATTGTGCACAATTATTTTTTTATTTTATTTTTATTTATGTCGGTTGCTTATTGAGATAGCATGATCGTCTTGCATTGAGCTTGGTTTATATGAGTTTGTGTGATTGGTTCGATTTCGTTAGCCTTTCTCTTCCTTATCCCACCTTACCCTAAGCCTCACTACAACCCTCTTTAACTCTTTGATTTTGTGTTTATTCTTATTCATTTTGGGTGATTGGACGTGATATCTTTGCAAGCTTATGGTAAAAGTCTTCTATGTCTTGACTTGAGCGTACACTTCACATTTAGCCTATACACTTTGAGTGAAAAAGTGAATCTCGTGAGAAGTGTTGATTTCCATGCGTTTAAGTTACGTGATTGTTGGGTATATTTCTCGTTGGTTGGTTGATGGGGACTCAAGTTTGACTTGTGTGTTGATGCTTGCTTTATGTTTTGATTTGGCATTGGAAGATTGATGATGACAATGAGGTGAGATGATGGATTTGACTTGATACTTGAAGACAAGCATCGATTTAAGCTTGGGGATGTTTGATAAGTCAAAAATATGTGTCGATTTAGAGAATTAATTTAGGATTTATATTAAATATTTGAGTTCAGCTGACATATGTTTGACATTATCTTGTATTTTCGAGTGGAAACTACCGGTGTTTGAATTTCTGTGCAGATCTAAAGCTCTTTAGCTTGTCGAATGGAAGATTCAACCTTGGAGCAATTGAGAGTTGGTTGTGCTTAAGAAGAGAAAACGTTTATGACTAACATGGCAGTGTCGATATTACAGTTCAAATGTAACATGGCCATGTTGGTATAATTCTGGAACAGATTTCTCAACTGGGCCTAATTTTACGGTTAAGCCCAAAATCAATTCATAACCTATTATAACAGCAGGCGCAAGGAAGGAACATGAGGGGGGGTCTGTTTGGAGGAGACACACAAGAACAGAGCACAACATCAGGGGCTTCTCTCCTTCATTCTATTTTCTTCATTATTTTTCCTTTTATTTTCTCTTCAATTATGATAGCCCTGCGCGGCTAATTTATCTTTGTCTTGGTTGAAGACGATTGAAACTGTTGTAGGTATTTTTACCGGAGTAGAATCGAAAGATTCAACACCGGGTCGTATCGCAAGGAAGGTTAGCCGGATTCAATTGCACGATTATTCAATCACGAAAAAGAGAAGAAAAAATTCCTAAACACTCTATTCAAATTGGTTTGGTTTTGATTATCAACTAAGAAACTGAGTTAATGAAAAGCAATTAAAATAGCAGAGGTATTCACGTAATGATTAAAGGGCTAGAAAATCGGGGATAATTGCTTCGGTTCTACCACAGCTACCGGCAATCAACTGCTCGGTT